TGACCTCGAACTAAACTGGGAATCCGACCTATACTGACTTGATCGTCGGAGTGCTCACCTTTTTGTGCAGGTCCGCCCAAGTATTCAGATCGGTCCGGAGGCCGAGTTCGAGCTGCAATCTGAAATACACTGTTGTGCATATCCTTGCATAAACAACTGTAAAGACCATCTTAGTAGCGTGAGTGTTTTTCACTATCTAAAAAAGAAAAACACTCAAAACATTTTAATTTATCTCTCTTAAAATCTCTCACGAATCTCATAATTCTTGTTGGTAGATTTTCTCTAACAAAGATGATGGTAAAGATGTTTTATGATTCTTTTACGAGGGTAATCATACGAGTACTTGTTTGGTTCTTTTCATTTTGATGTTTCTTAACAATGTTTTTTATGTTTCAAAAGATTTTTGTTTGTACTTTGATTTTTTTGTGGTACAAACTTCACATGTTATCCAATAAACCAACAGTGTAGCGCTGTGGATAATTGTAGTTGACTTTTCAAACTTCCAAGGACTATCAAAAGGAGAGCCCACCAATAGAGTTTCTTTTGGGAGAACAACGTTGTAGTTGATTACTGTCTTTTCTTTTTCTGCTTGTTTTTTTTTATTTTAAATTTTTTATATTCCATTTGATGTGTTCTTAATTTGAGAATATTTTGAAAAGTGGAATGACTTTTTGGTATAGTACTTTACATATATTTTTCAAAATTGTTTGGTAAAAAGTCATTTAAAAAATTTAAAAAATACTAAAAAGCACTTATGAAGAAGTGTTTTTCACTCTAAGACACTTTCTCCAAAACTCATCCTAATCTTATCTAAAAATTTAGTTTATTTGGAATCTTCGCCTCCTTAACATATCTGTGTTAATTTTACTTCCATGCTAATTTCATTGTTGATTCTTGCATTTTTAGGAGTTGGAATTATTTCCGTTCCTTATGCCCTCGCATCGGGCGGATGGCTAAATTTAATACTTCTTTTCGTAATTGCCCTCACGATGTTTTACTCTGGCTTGCTGATTCAACGATGCATGGATGTGAAGTCTGATATTAGAACCTATCCAGAAGTTGGAGAGATTGCATTTGGAAGCAATGGGAAGATAATAGTATCAATTGTCACGTACGTGGAGCTGTATTTGGTTGCCACTGGATTCCTAATTCTTGGAGGAGATAACTTGAACAATATGTTTCCCAACGTCGAGTTTGAACTCCTCGGCTTTAGAATTGCTGGGCAAGCCTTCTTCGTTTTGGTCATTGCTCTCATTATCTTGCCGTCGGTTTGGCTTAACGACATGAGTCTTTTCTCTTTCATCTCGGCCAGTAGTGTTTTGGCGTTGGCCATCATCCTCGGCTCTGTTCTCTGGTGTGGTGCTTTTGATGGGATTGGATTCCAACACAAAGGGACTCTCGTCAATTGGAAAGGGATTCCAAATTCCATCAGCTTATTCATCTTCTGTTACGGTGCACATCCAGTTTTCCCAACCTTGTACACTTCCATGAAGAACAAACACGAGTTCTCCAAGGTACGTGCAAAACCAAATTCTAGTTGTTTCACTTTAGTTTCTCCCCTTTTAAATTTGCTCTTCAAATTTTTAAAAGGTTCAATTTCATCCCCTATATATTGAAGAATGAAAAACATATTAATTTTAAAAAAGGTAATTTGAAGGTGTAAATGGTTAATTTATCAACATCTTAATGGATCAATTTTCCATAACAAAAACATTTTCAAGTCAAGTAAATTACATATGCTAAGTCATATGAAATAAGCAAGTTTTTCTAGACCACCGAGTGTTTTCAATCAAGTGTATTTTGACATTAAATCAACATTTTCACAGTAAGAACTTAATTGGATAAAACAAATTCAATAAAAAGGGATAGAAATTGAAAATTTTAAGAGTTTAGGGAATAAATTGAAATTCAAACATTAGGCCTTTTTCTTTGACTTTTTGGTGTCCCTTTTGGTTGTTTCTACATGGACAGGTTCTAACTTTAAGCTTTTTAATCTGCACTTTTTGCTATGCCTCTATGGCTGTCATGGGATATGCCATGTTTGGCTCAGACATTCAATCACAGATAACCTTAAATCTCCCGAAGGAAAAACTCAGCTCTTTAGTTGCAATCTACGCAACTTTACTCAACCCTATTTGCAAATATGCATTAATGACTATTCCAATAGTAAATGCCATTAGGAATCAATTTCCATTGAACTACAATAGAAAGCCATTGGCCATCCTTATTGGTACCATCTTGTTGGTTAGCAATGTCATTATAGCTCTGGCAATTCCCTTTTTTGTGTCTCTAATGTCACTTGTTGGAGCTTTTCTCAACGTGATTGCTTCAATTATATTGCCATGTGCGTGTTACTTGAAGATTTCGGGGCATTACAAGAAGTTTGGATTCGAGATGGTGATAATAACTAGCATCATAGTGATTGGTGTCCTAATCGGCATAGTTGGAACATATGTAGCTATTGTAGAAATTGTGGGAAAGATGTAATTAATTCTTCTTTGTGTAGAAACAAAAGTTTACTTTCCAAATTAGAGTGGGGAAATGGGAGTTGGGTATAAACTTTGGTGCCTTGCTTGGAATGTAAAGCAGGGGATTCGAAGACTCTAAGAATTTGCTTTTTATCTTACTTAAAAGGCATGGTACCATATTGAAGATATGTTATTGTATACTTATATATTATGAACCTTTACATCTTCTATCCAAAGTGGGATAAGTATATTTGCATCTTCAACAGAATCGTGATGGGGATGCAAGGTGTTTACTCTATGGGAAGAAATTGCAAAAGAAATTTTAGGCAGAGAATGTATGTATTACTCTTTACTTGCTGAATAGATCCTACAAGGATAGTTAAGGGCAAGACTCATGAAGATTGGTAAGGTAGAAAATCTTATGTTAAAAACTTGAAGATTTTTTGATCTATATGTTACTCTTTTATTCCTTCTATTAAGAGGTTTAAACTTGATGAGAAGGCAATTAAAGAAGTATTTATTGGTATGCTTCTTATTCAAAAGAGTATAAAATTTTCTATTCGAATAATGAAGAGGTTATCTTGAGTCATGATATCATTGTTGAGGAAGATTCTTATTGGAATTTTGTGAAGCAAAAAATTGTTAGAGATTCACCCAACAATTTGGAAAATTTAGAACGAATTTAATCTTCTTTTGATCCGATTGACTCTAACAATCAAGATAACCACCATCCTCCTTCGAATGATGACGATCTTGTTCATGAAACTGGTAATGGTTCAAATTAAAAGGTAAGATCACTTGCTGATGTATATAAAAGTTGTATGTTTTGTTATTGTTCAACTTAATAGCTATTATAAAGCTTCATAGTCTACTGAGTTGCTATTATGAAAGTTAAATTGGAGATGATTAATAAAAATAATACATGAGAGGTGGTAGACCAACCACATGGAAAAAACACTTTAGGTAGTTGTTTAGGGTGAAATATAATTATGATGGTTCAATCAACAAATAAAAAGCAAGCTTAGTGGTAAAAGGGCATGCACAACAACATGGAGTTGATTATGGAGATATATTTGATCCACTTGCAAGACATAATACTATACAATTGATTATTGCTTTAGCTGCACAATTGGGTGGAAAATATTCCATCTAGATGTAAAATCAATTTTTTGAATGGTCACCTTGAGGAGGAGATTTATTTAAGTCAATTTGAAGGGTTTGTAGACAAAGGCAAGGAAGAGAAAGTACATCGTTTGAGAAAAGCTCTCTGTGGCCTAATGTAAGAACCTCGAGCTTGGTACAGAAAAATTGATTCATATTTGATCCTTCAAGGTGATTGAAACCATTTTCTCTCTTAAGGTTGGTGACAATTCTTGCAACGCCCCTAAATCTTCACCAACTCAAATGGGGCATGTTACTAAAACCTCTTATATAGCTTAACTTAATCGAGAGAACATAACTACTTTTCTACCCAATAAACTTCAACTAAGAAACTTTATTAACTTCAAAAAGTCTCAATCCAACAGATTAACAACTAAACATAACTTAAACTCTCAAAAGAATAGAGAATCAACGATTTTAAACATCTTTTGGTTTGAACAAAGATAACTCTTGACAAGAACAAAAATCATTAACGTCTTGATACTAAGTAAAAACCACAACCTTAAGCAGGAACTATACAAAACCAACCTACTAAGCAAAGAATAAACTCATACTAGAAAAAGAAACAACTGCAACTGGCCCAACTAAAATGAAAATTAAATGACGCAGCGTTATATGGTCTTTCTAGTTGAGTCTTCTCCACGCCATCATCATTTGCATCGGTCACTTCATTACTTGTAAAATCTGAAAGAGGAGAGAGTGAGTACAACCACTATTACTCAGTAAAAAACTCATACCTAAAGGGTTACACACAAAAAGCATGTTTTTCACAACATCAAACATCATGTTCATCAATATATATATATATACACACATACATGCATGCATACATACATACATTTAAGTAAGATAGAATGTAAACTTGCTAAACCTGCATCCTACATGCCAAACCCAAGCCTCATAAAACTCACTAGACTTCTCTTTCCTATTCCTCTAGGACTTACTCCTTCGAGTCATACCGACTCCTGACCATCTACCCAATGTCTTGATACTTCTCTACGGCGCTTGGCGTTTGATCCCTTATCACGCATACTGAAGACCTTGAAATGTTGCACCTACCCTTAACCACGCATAGCTAAGACCTTGATCACTTTGCAACATAGTGGCCCTTGCCCTTTCTTCCCAAGGCCCCAATACTTGCCTTCCTATAAGATTCAATGCGTCAACCCTTAACTAGGTATAGCTAAGACCCCGACACTCATCTTTGTCCAAAGTTGGCGTATCGACCCTCGACCATTTACCCAAATCCTCGATATTTAACTTGTGACGTATCAGCCTTTTGGCCCTAATACTCACTCATTCACTTAATAACAAATTAAAACTCTCACCCGAGTCCTACTCCATACTTTCTAAGCCATGACCCATGCATAAATCGACTCACAACAGTCCAACATGCAATATACACAAAAATACGTAATTACCATTCAACTCAAAATAGTGTAGCGCGTGATTCAACAATGAACATGTATATATTTCACAACATGAAACATAACCAACAATATAATCAACATATATCAAGCATGCTCCAACATAAAAAAACTTCTCATAAATATTCCAGTATGCAACCAAACAGTCTATCCAATCTATTTATATGAACACCACTCACAGAAACCATAATAATAGTCTAAAGTTCTATTAGCAAGCAACAGATTTTACGTAATAGCCAACGTATAAACAAGTTATATACATTAATAATAAAAGCGCAAGAGCAAGTCAATAAACATGCATCATAAATATCACACAGTAAACAATCGCCCAAGTAAGAAACTACTTACAAACAAGGTCTAATGCTCCTAAGCTTTGAAAGATTCCTAAATCGAAAGAGACTAAACTTTGGGTTAGAACTCACTTTAATCGAAATCAAAAGGGAGTTTAAGTGAGTCGTTAGCTATTAACACACGGCAAAACCACTTGGGTTAAGAATAGGTCAATGCTGAAGTGGTTTGGCCTAGAAAAAATTAGTTCAAAAAGGCTCGCACTTACTAGTCCGAAGTCGGGAGGGGGTGGGTAACACCGATCTATGCTCGAACAAGGGTGGGTAAGCATCAAATCTCGTTGGAAGGAAGAAAACGCCGCTGATCTGGGCTGCTACTGTCGTTGTTGTCTATTTCTCATGGGAATGTGTCGCCGCCATTGTAGAAATCTCTAGAGAAGAGGCGTGCCGCTTTAGAATGTCGGATCTACTCGAATCTCACCATTCGTGGTTGGAAAACACTCAGTTGCTGCTGTACGGGGTTGCTGCAGAGGGAAAACGCCGTTGTGGGTCGTCGTCGTCACTGATCTAGGCTTGAGCCGCCATGGAACATTGGAAACTCGTCGGATCTGGGCTACAAAACACAAAACCGCAGGATCTACTCATGAAGACTCGCAATGCCGTTGTGGTGATGTTGTAGTAGATGTGCCGTTCGAGGTTGTTTGTGTTGCCGTTGCTGAATGGTGCCAGTTGATACACAACAACCCAAGCGTATGGACTACTTGAGCCTCTAGCCACTTCAATCCAATCGATAGATTGTTCAACCCGGAAGGAAAAAAGTTAGATGGATTACATTTGCAGTAGATTACCTTGAGTAGACAGATGACTTACTAGGTTCGAGACTAGAAACACTCTACAAGTTTGATGACCAATCAAACAAGCATGCTTTAAGAATAAAATAGAGTATCCTAAGTTCAACCACATAAAAAATACAATATTTAGGGGGGCGGGGGGTGTTGAGAAATTAAGGCGCTCTAAACAATTCTCCTTCCACAATTGTCCAGCAAACAAAGGCAATCACACAACACAAATAAGAGATTAAGAGAAAAGTAGAAAATGACACAATAATTTATACTAGTTCACCTTAAGAGTGTATGGGCTACATCCAGTCTTTTGCTCAGATGTGAGTACTAAACTATGAGATTGGAACAAAGCAATCAAATATCTCCCTTAAATATTGATCCTCTAAAGGTCCAAACTAAAGCCCTCAACTTCTTAGTATTATAATGCATTATACTTAGGTATAAGAATGAAAAACTGACAATAGAATTAAGATCTAAATACCTCGAAATTGTTGATCTGGATCTGCCCAAAAGCTTCTGCTATTACCCTGAGCCTCTACCTCGAAACTGGCACAAAATGCTCTAAAAAACGGTTGAAAACGACTCTAATTTCGGCTGAAAAATCCTAAAACCCGAAATTGCATATTTATAGAGTCGATATAACGTCATGGCGCTGTTGATAGAGCCATGGTCCTCGGTGTTGTGCAGCGTCGCGACGCCCTACAACAGCACTACGGTGCTACCTCCTCGGCCATTCTGGCTTGCAGCTTTCTACTTCACTTGTTTTCATCCCTGCTTGTCCAAAGGCTTGATCTTGATTCGTCCCTAATTCGTTCCGACATTGATTTGGCCCCACCAATCGCAACAAGGGGGTTACACGTAGGCAAGGGGTAGAGAAACCTATCAATTTTATTCAATTCATCAAAGTCTAAAATTTGTATTAAACAACAAAGAGGGAACGCCTATTTATAGGCCAAGACCAAAGGCTTTTTAGCGGCTCGATTGTTTGGCAAGTTGGACGAGGGGGGTTCGTATCTCCCCAATTGTTTTGTAAATAAAATAAACCTAAAATCTAATGTAAATAAAAGAAAACAAAATAATTGTAAAGATAATTTCCTAAATGACGCCAATTTGCTAATCAAGCAAAGCAACTATTCCTTAAATATAATTTGATAAAAATAAAATAAACTATGAAAAATAAAAAACAAGAGATCTGTCTTAAATCCACCAACTAGCTAATTAAGTAAGATAAATTATTCCTTGATTCTAAAACAAAATAAATCTAAGGAGGCAAAAAAGGAAATATATTACTTAAATAAAAGG